TGCCAAGCTTTAAGTGTTGATCACTGTTATCTCACCTAATTGTCACCAAAGTGGATTCAAAATATGCTCAGCCCTATATTATATATAGAAACTGGGAAATAAGAAATCTGCCATAAGTAGACCAAGATCTTAAATGGTAGAGCCAGGGCTGAAATCCAGCTGTGCCTTCCTCCAAAGTCTACTTGCTTGTCCGGTTGTGACATTTAATATTATGAAACACAATCCTCATCAAGTGGAAAAGACACCTTTATGCAGCGCCTGTGCTTTGTGAATTATTGGCCTCTTTCGACTCTTGTTTTCTGGTTCAAAACACCACTCTCCTCCCACTCTGCAGCTGTCTCTACCCAGCTCATGCCTTCTTGGGAAGAGCTCTTTGGTGTTTTGGCAGGATTTCAGAATCGCATGTTTCTGCTAGGGGGAAAAAAAAATTCTGAGTTTGGAATTCAGTTGTGCTCAGAATGAGCCCTTTGGCCTGAATGTAGAGAAGGAAGTCCAAGCCTCTGACATGGAGAGAAAGAAGAGTTTCTGGAGTTCAGCCAGGAACACCCTTTGTTGAGACAAGGGGCTGAATCTTGCTCCTTAGCTGAGGTTGCCCCTTGCACTTGGAAAACCTTTTCCCCCAGCTTCCACTTCACTCCGACAGCTGCTAGGCATTTGGCGAGTCTCAAGTCAGGGACCCTCCAGGAAAACTACCTCCCACTTCCTGTGCTCCTAGGCGCCTCCCTGTGCTCCTAGGTACCAGTACTTCCCTCCTTTGTTCTGTTTGCTCTGTAGACAGCTTCTCACCTGCTGACCTGTGAGCTACTGGAGGTCAGAACCCTTCCTCCTCTAAGACTCCCCAGTGCTATAAACCCTTTGAAAGTGCTGAGTAAATGAATGAATGAATAGAGGTGACCAGTCAAAGCCATGCCGGGAGAACCAGACACCTCCCATCCCAGATTCCAGAAACCTCTCTCCTCCTCTCCTTACCCCTCAGGGATTGATCCTTCCACAGCCACTGGAGGCAATGATTCCAGAAATACTTTGGGAGATTGGTTCACCTATGAAGCAAGAGACTTGGAAGGAGGTCAGCTCCTTGACTTGTCAGCTCCATGCTTCTTTCTAAGAGGCTGAGAGCTGAGGGCCCTGCGCTGGAGGGTTCTTAGCAGGGAGGGAAGGAAGCCCTGCTTCAGAATCCCACTTGATATTGATTTCAAGGTGCTCATGATTGCAGAAACAAGGATCTGAGGATGCTTCCTTCACATCCCATAGTATATCAACTCGAGTGACCTTCTTGAGTTCACCCCGATATTTCAGAAGAGTTCAAAGGTAGCTTGGGAAACCTGTCAGCACTCCGCAGCAGAGAAAGTTCATCTCCCTGCAGCCCTATGACAACGCAGAGTGTTGTGAGGCTGCCTGCCCTTGCCTGGCCCTGCCCTGTTCAACTTTCTGCCAGGTAGCTCTTCTGTGCCAGTCCCTGGGGCTTGGATGGAGTCCAGGAAATGCTGCAACCTCAAAGCCAGGTTATTTGCCCCTCAGGCTATTCTCCTTTGGGACCTCTCACCTGCAGCCACCTTCACCCGGCATGGCTGTGCCAGGGTGGTGATGAAGCTTTCTTCTCAGAGTTCCGAGGTCCCCATGGAGTGATTGCTGCTGCTGCTCCTGCCCTGGGTTCCCTTGTCTTCTCTGAGAGTTCTCTCTGTTTACACTTTAATCAAGAATTCACTAAATAATTTGTGCAGTAACTTGGGAGCAGAGTTTGGTGACCAAACAAACTGAAGGTCAAAGTCCTTGATCTTGCTCTTAAGCAAGTTGTTTGCTCTCTCTGGCCCTATTTCCCTCATCTTGAGTCCCTACATTGCAGGCTGTCGTGGTGATGAAAGCTATGGCTCTTGGCCCAGGCTGCACATCAGAAGTCCCTTGGGATCCTCAAAATGCCAATGCCTGGGGCCCAACCAGATTGATTAAATCAGAGTCTTTGGACTGGGGCCCCCCTCCCCCCGCATCAGTTTCTTACAGATCCCCAGGTGACTCATAACTACACTCTAAGTTGTGATCTTAGAGATAATGTACAGAACCTGGAAGACATATTGCTTTCAGAACATAATGTTCTGTTAGTAAATGATGCCAATGTTATCATTATATTACTGAGGCCCTTAATCTTACTTCTTCCAAAAAAGGAATTCCTCTTATGTGGCTGAGATATCCAAATTATAAATAAGGAGCACGAATAATTGTCACTACTCTCTAGGCTGCTCAGTGAGATGATAATGACAGTGGCTTGAAAGTCAGCTCCGAGGACCCCAGATTTTTAAAGGCTGTGCGTGCGCTCACTCATGTCCTCCTGGTGTGCCTTCTTGTCTGTACCCTTCAGCCATCCTGGGTCTGCATCTGGGGAAACATTTCCCGTTGAAGCTCAGTGCCCTCATTTCCAGTACTGGTGGCCTCATGGGAGGCAGTGCTCAGCTTTTGCATCCCCAGTTACCTTTGCTCTGCAGTAAATAGATGAGTCACATTTGGTCCCAGCAGGTCAACTAACAAGCAGTCTGGGCTATTGAGTCTGGTGATTTAGGCCAAGGAGGCAATGACCTTGGTGCCAAGGAAAGTCATAAAACTGGGCTTGACACTCTTTAAAGTTATCTTTGTTTGCTGATTGTTTGGCTAGAGGGATAGGTTTGGAGCTATTCCTGGCCACTTTGGGGCCCTTCAATGATAAGCTTAATTAGGGTGAAAGGAGGTCAAACAGTCCTTCAGTTTGGGAAGCAATGGGCTGAAAAGATTAGTTAGCAATAACTAACATCAGTTGACAACCCTCCACTGCACTTGAGATATCACTTCACTTCTTTTTCCAAACTAAGTATGTTCTGAGTGTGGTTTGCAGGATAGGCTACTGGTTTAGTGGGTGGGGAGGACTAGCTTTAGTTTTGAGCCAAATATTTAAATATCTCTCATCTATCTACTTCTTTGCATCCAAACCACCCAAGACTGGTACTAAATCTCTAGGAGACAATGCAAGAACATCTGTGTGGAGACCACCACCTCTTACTAGGATCCCCACAGAGCTGCCAGAATAATCCTTCCTAATATCACTTTGGATGGCTCCACTCCCCAGCTTGAAACCCTTCAAATGACTCCCCATGACCTTGTAATGTGACCTTCAAGTCTCCATCAGCCCTGGCTGCTATCCACCTTTCCACCTCATCTTGCTACAGGTGGGTAGCATGCATCCCTCTCCTTAACTCCCACCTTCTTTTCTCTTCTGCTCTTGGGACCATATCTACCACCTGCCTGTACATTTTTTCCAGTGAAGCTAATACTCAAGATGCCTTAAGCTTCAACCTTACTCCCTAGGGAAGTCTTTCCTTCCTCTCCCTAAGAGCTTCTGATTCCTGAGTTCCTCCTATGCAAATACTACTTGGTCTTGGTTGTTGCCCTTTGCCTAACCAGAATTTAAGCTCCGTGAAGGAGAGACCCCATGGGCAACCACCATGCATCTGTATTCTCTACATGAAGGCAGTGAGTGCATTTAAAATGGATCCCAAAAGCACTTTCCAAAGACAAAGAAAAGCCATGGACTTCACCAAGGAAGAGAATACCACTCAGAGGTGAAGAGGAATGTGCCTGCTGCCTCTTCACATAGCAATCAGGAATTGCAGAGTTATCCATATTACGTGAGGTCCACCATCATGGGTGAAGTCCCTAGGGCAATGTACCCTATTAGATATTTTATCTGTATAAAATGTGAATTTTGATGGTAATTGTCATTTTTTTTTCCAAATAATTTTTTGGAAACTCAAAAGGGGCATGACAGCTGGGGCTGGGGGTTGTGGCTCAGCAGTAGAGCGCTCGCCTAGCACATGTGAAGCCCTGGGTATGATCCTCAGCAACTACAAATAAAAAATAAATATGTAAAAAAAAGGGGGGGGGCATGACAGCTGACAATTATTTAGGACCTACAGCACGCCACACATGACAACTCTATGAGGCAGACACTGTCATTACTTCCATTTTGTGAATAGGGAAACTGAGAGATATAGGAACGGGAATGTGCTTGGCACCATGTTGGAGCTGGTATAGTGAAACCATATTTAAAATCAGGCAGCCATCCAGGCCCAGATCACATTATAATGTCTCCCTGTGGAGCTGTCTACCACCTTCCCCAAATTTAGGTTCTCTCACATTTGCAAGAAAATACTATAGGCTGAAATTGTGCAATAGATTTTACTCACTCTCTCAAGAGGTGGGGTCCTTATTAATATTTCAGAACATAAAAGAGTGGGGCTTGATTTCTCACCTTCATGAATTATTTCTAAAGAGTTTATTGCATCCTCAGGGTAGTGTCTAACTCTATAGAAAGGACCCTACGTTCTTCCCACACCATTTGCCACCCAGCATCGTGCAGGTCTGAAGGAAGCACTATGGCTTTGGAGAAGTTGATATCAATTCACTCAGCCACAGGTTCTCTTGGCTAATGGATGCAAAGGGGCTCACAGTGTCTAGCTGTTTCTGTACCAGCCTATTGGCCTATAGAATTTACACAATTCTCTGACTCTCCAGTCTAAGTGAAGAGCACAATGGAAACATTATCACAGGCCTTTCCACTTTAATTAAATTTCCTTTATAAGGGATAGCTGCTGTTTTTTTCTAGTTTTGCTTGTGTGTCTTCTATGATTAATGCAAATCCACTGAGCAGGATCTTAAAGCCTAATCATTGTTAAAAGAACATAGATGCTCCAAAGATCAGCTGTCAACTGCATTACAATGACTATTTATTGGTTAGATGTCCTCTTCCTCGTGCTTTGTAGGCCTCATGTTCCTTAGTTATTGAGGTCATACTTATTTTTTATTTATTAAATTATTTGCTCTATCTTTAAACTTGAAGACAATTCTACTGTGATTAACTCTTTCCCAACTTCTTGAACTTAAGAAATAAATTATTCTATTACCAGGAGCTAAAAAAAAGGGCTATAGATATTTCATTCTTTAATATGAACTCTCTTTTATGAAGTGTTGGGCTCTTCACATGCACATTTTCATTTAATCTTTACAACATTATTCGTTCCTGCTATTATCATGCCCATTTCATCGATGAAAATACAGAACACACAAAGTGTATTAGTCAGCTTTCTGTAGCTGTGACAAAATACCTGAGAAAAACAATTTAAAAGGAGGAAAGATTTATTTTGGCTCATGGTTTCAGAGGTTCAGTCCATGGTCACTTGGAGCCATTGTTTCTGAGCCTATGGTGAAGCAGAACATCATGGTAGAAAGGGTGTGGCAGAGCAAAGCTTCTCCCGTCATGGCAGCTAGAAACAGAGAGAGAGAGAGAGGAAGGGGACAGGGACAAAATATGCCCCTCAAAAGCACATCTTCAGTAACTTACATCCTCCAACTAGGCCCTACCTCCTGAAGCTTCCACCACCTCCCAATAATCCATTAAGCTATGAATCCATCAATGGATTAATCCACTGGCAAGGTGAGAGCCCTCTTGAGCCAATCACTTCCCCAGGACCTAACCTCTGAACATTGCTGCATTGTAGACCAAGCCTTCAACACCTGAGCTTTGGGGGGACATTTTAGAGCCAAACCATAAGAGTTACTTATTTGTATTATTAGTTTGTTTTTATTGTTTGTTTTTAAGTGACCAAACTAACAAATTTCTCGCAGCTCACAGTGGACTGGACTATCAATTCAGGCAACTAACTACTATGATGTGCTATTTTGCTTTACTTCCTCGAACCTTTTAAAATTTGAGTCATTTTATTTATTATAGTTGTAGCCATGACTACTTGTTTGCTTGTTTACCAAAATGATGTTCCTGATTAATTAGGATATATATTTTCAGCATTAGTTAATTTCTGTTACACACACTCTCCCCAACCCCAACCTACACAATTAGGCAAATGTGTACACTGACTTCAACATGTGGACTTTGGTGCATTTCCTTTCTCGTAGGAACAAATCATTCTCTTTCTTATACCAATTCCTCCAAGGTGATTTAGAACTTATTACTGATAAGCTTCTCTGGAAATTAGGGGAGAGTTTTGAGAAGAAAGCAATGTCCCTGATAAATATAGAACTAAGAGAAGGCGTGTACAGAGTATGGGTGGCTGAATAGATAGTGCTTGTCTCTTCAAATAGGTTAAAGTAATGCTTGTGACTTCTTTGAACTGATTTCATTTCAGATTAACCACGTGACACATTGGATTGGAAAGTACATCCAGTGCATCTCTTGGAGAAGACACAGTGCAGAATTTCCCTTCTAAGATGACAGCAGTCTGTGGCAATACCCAGTCAATGACAAGCAGTAAGCAGCAGAGGCAAGAGATGTGGGCCAACCATGGCCTCACCTCTAGTCTTCTAACCCTGGGCAACTAACAATCTCCTTGAGTTTTGCTCTTTATTCCTTCTGAATTAGCCTAACAATACCTGCTCTCCATGTGAACTCTTCTAAGTGTTGAAGAGGATACTATGGGAATATTGCATGTGGCTAGCACACAGTAGGCCACAGAGTTTCTACCAAGTGTGGAATAGAGACCAACAAGTTACGGAGGCTCACTTAAGAACACTCCAGAAAGGTCTAAACATAATTTGTTAACATAAGCATATCACTAGATCATCACTAGATCTCTGATCCCCAGATTTCCAGAGGTATAGCAGAAATTCAGTCACTTCACAGTAAAACAGCAAAGAACCAAAGTGGAAAATAAGTGATTTGAAGACTACCCGAGACACAGGAAGATATTTCTAAGAACCATTTTCTTCTCTATCCTGGACTTAGAGAGTCTAAGTTATTTAGACTCTTTTTAAAAGTTAATTTAGCTAACTTTTAAAAGGTCAAAAGGAACCAGGAGAGATAAAGGCTAACCATTTTTGATGACAAGACAAAATATAAATCATAGTAATGATAACAAAATAAAATCTATTTTTCCCCCCTTAGGACTAGTAGGTGGATAGAACCCAGAGAAAACACTTTAACGTTATTGTTTGCTGAATAGAATTCCTGTAACCAAATCAAAGACATTATTTTCTTGGGCCCTCTACCAAGGCATAGGAATTATTTTGTTATTACAGACTCTATTTTCTAGAGATGCTTTGTGAAAGGATTTCATGAATAATCATTTTTGTCTTTAAAGGTAAAAATTGATGAATGCACTGAGGAATCAACTGTAGTCTTCAGGGCATGTATTAGTCACAGATGAACTATGTGATCAATTTCTTTTTTCTCTGAGAAAAGGAATCTATCCTATGTGTCTGTGCTAATTTACAGAAATGAACATTTGCTTTCTGTCATGCTGAGTAGTGTGCTTGGGAGAGTTGAAGTCCTCACACTTGGTCTTCCAGCCCTTGATTCCTCCCCTCTCTGGAAGCATCTATGCTCCTTAAAGAATCCCATCAGCAGAACCCTCACTCCCAGCCTTCTGAGCTTCTGAAGAGGTTGTTTTTGTTCTTAGGACCTTATGATTCACAAGGAGGAGGTGAAAGAAGATTCTTTGCCTCCATAGCTCTTCAGCTTCTTAAGAATTATTTGCTTATGAATTAAAAACAAGACTGGGTGAGGATGCTCTGTGACAGTTAAAGAGGCTCAGGCTCAGTTATTTTAACTGGCAGAGCAGTGCTGACTTATACCCTCGGGGCCACTTGAGACTGCTAAAACTCCCTTCACTGTTGCCTGTCCAAACGTTGTGGGACATGCTAGGATCTGTGTTAGGTGTCATTTTACCTTTAGAAAAAGAAAGAAAAGTATCTAAAATCTCTGCTGGCATTCATTCACTTATTCCATGTGTATAACAACGGGTAAAGTCCCTTGTTAGTTGCTATGACGATCAGAGCCAGGCCTAGGTTGAGGTGCTCATCTCAGGAACATCATTTAAGGGGACACAAAAAAAAAACACTCGGGAATTAAGATAACACCTGAAGGCAGTATTTAAAGAAATCAAAATTAATGCAAACCAAAAATCTGTGATAAAAAAGGGATCTAAAATTTCTAGTAAAAATAGAATCAATAACTATGCCAGGCCATATTGGAACCTGAGATAAAAAGGAAAAAAAAACCATTAAAAATGGAAAGGAAATTAAAAGGAAAAAATGCTCATTCTATCTTTATTGAAATGTTCATGTTTTGATCTTCATAAATTTTTGCTCTTAGTTTTTAAGAATCATATTATAATGTTATTTATCTTGACTGGATTTTTTTTTTTTTTTTTTTAGATTTTATGTGTTAGGCAAGTACCTGGAAGTCCTCCAGCTAGTCCTTGCCCTGATGGGAATGAGGAGATCTTGCCTTCTTGGAGTTTATATTAATACAGTTGAGTATCCCTTATTTGAAATGCTTGGAACCTAAAGTGTTTCAGATTTCAGATTTTTCTGGATTTTGAACTATTTGCATAGATATAATCAGGTAACTTGGGGATGAAACCCAATTCTAACATGATATTCATTATGTTTCCTATGCCCCTCATACATTATAGTGTAAAGATAATCTTATACAAATTTTCTAATAATTCTATGCATGAAACAGCTCCATAGTGTGGAAGTTTCCACTTATAATGTCACATCAGTACTCAAAGAGTTTCGGACCTTGAAACATTTCAGATTTCAGAGTTTTGTCTTAGGGATGGTCGACCTATATAGGAGCACTGAGGATTCTATAAAAAAAATACTGTATCACAAGATTAAAAGTGATAAATGCAAGAGAGAGGTGTGGATAAATGGCACAGGGGCTGACAGGAAGGAAAGTGTATTTCTACGGGGGGGAGGGGGTGGTCGGTAAAAGCTTTGAAAGAGGTTGTGTTTAAACACAACTTGACCATGTCCCAGCTGGAGATAAATAGAAGATTCCAGAAACCCAACCAAGTTTTTAAGCAAAGAAAGAAGCATTAGTAGGTCACAATAAGGGAAGACAGTTTGCAGACTACAAATGGAGAAGGTATGCCAGGTATTGACGAAAGCGTGTGTTCATATGCTGCAGAGTGTGCCCAGGAGTCCTCACCATGGCAAAAGAAGAGGCCTTGTAGGACCGGATTCATTTTACAACCACCTTGTTTAAAAAAGACCCTTCTTTCCAGTTCTGTGGGGAGAGAGAGAAGCCAGTGTGTGCAAAGAACTGAATAAATCGCACCTGTGAATGCTGAAGGAGGTGCCTTGTAACTACAAGTGAACTTCAATCACCAAGACAGTACTGCCTCCCGGGCTGGCCTCTGAGCAACCAAGAAGGATTCTGTAATGGAGGAAATCCAGTCTGACAATGAGAACTTTAAACTGCGATCAGCCACAGTTACACAAAAACAGAGGAGAAAACACAAACTCAGATACTCCCAATATTTAATATCCAAGCCAGAATCACTGCTGAGCTAGAAGTTTCTACTCTGGATCTTGTGATCCATTTGGGGCCCACCTCTTTTGCTTACTGCTAGCTGCTTTCTGTCGCTCAGATTCCATTTATCAGGCCAAGGAAGAGATTTCAGGAGGTTGTTTTGACCCAATTCTCTGTTTTGAATAAGCTGAGTCAATTATGAAACCTTACCAACCCAGCTTGGAGGAGCAGGGTGCTGGCAGAGAGAAGGTGCTTCATCCACAGAATGAAAGAGTTAAAAATTATTAGTAGAGATCATGTGATCCATAAACGTCTAACCTGGACAGTTTGTGAACAAGCAGCATTATGGTTACCATACGCAATTATTTGCTGAGTTGAAAAATGAATGGCACAAACCCTACGTATTTTATCTTTTCTAAAATTAGCTCACAGTCCTATTAATCAGGAGGGGGAGTAATAAGCCACCTGCAGATGACATCCATGGCATTTCATGCCCCGAAGACGTTCATGTTCTTTTTCTAGGAGGAGTCATAGTATTTGCCTTCAACTGGATGAATTTAGCACTCCTGTCATTAAAGCTTTTTCTTCACCCAGAGCCTGTACTTTGTCAGAAAACCAAGTGATCAAGTTACCAGGCCAGAAAAGCAGTCTATTTTAAGAATGAAAAAGTTTTAGCCGAAAGTATACTAATTTACTCACTTTGCACAGAGTGATAGAAAACAGGTCTTCATAGACTGAGGATGTGAGCATTGATGTCACTTAGTCCAGTAGCTTTCAGATGCCTCCAGACACTTGACAGTGGTTGAATTCTGTCCTAGGGGAGGCATACCTGGTCCTCTGCTACTTAGAAAAGACTAAAGGGAGACTGAAGGGAACCATTCTGGCCAAAGTAGAGGAAGGGCATAGAAACCTCAAATCATGGCTTTTCCCTTGCTCCAAGTGAAGCCAGCTTTAAAAAAAAAAAAAAAAAAGAAAAAGAAAGAAAAAAAGAAAAAAAATCCAGGAGGAACAGAAGCCCAGAAAGTTTCAATATTTGCTCCAAGTTACACAGATATGAAGGATGAGTTTAGGATACAGCTCTTGACTCTAGGTTCCTGGATTTCACTGCTGTGTCCACAGATAGGACATTGTATTCAAATGGACCATTTCCTATTCCTCTGTGTGTGTGTGTGTGTGTGTGTGTGTGTGTGTGTGTGTGTGTTTGCCCATATTTGTGGATCTGCCCCAATTTTATGGAAATCAGTAATCCCCCAACCTTTTTCCTAACAGGACTCACCTATGGTATCTGTAAGGCACATCTGCATAACAGCCAGAGACCATTGATCCTGGGGATTTGGATGGCTCCAAGCCTGGCCCAGCCACCCTAAAGTGTGAGAGGAATCTTTCTTCATACCTTTAATCCTCCCCTGTGGGAAACATAAACTGGGAAGCTCTAGGCTATGTATACTGGCTCACTGCTCCCCTAGGGAAAGACCTTGGCCTGACCCTGTTCTAACCATGCCCCAAGTGTCTATGCTGGGCTCTGTTTTTGAGTACTCACTTGGGACTAATATCTACACACCTGGGAGAGAACTGTGCACTCAGCACAGTCAGCAGAGCCCTAAAAAGGCATATAGTCATAGTTTTGCACTATGCAACATTTTCTTAGCATGTCTCTGGCCAACTCCCCATCCCAAAACCTGCTCTGGGGAGAGAGAAGCCAGTGTGTGCAAAGAAGGTGGAAATGAAATCAAATAAGGCTATGAAATACTATCCAGTCAATGCTGTCAAAGAAAGATCAGGTGTTACCAGAACATGGGCAGCCTCTATGGAGAAGGGATGTCTGGATTGTTTCTGTAAACATGAGCAGGATTTCAACAAGCAGAGAAAGAGGAAAGGCCATCTAGATGGAAGCAACAGACTGGAAAGAGTCATGAAGGTGGAAAAATGCAAGAACTGTGAAGGAACGGGTTTGTCTTATGGTTTACAAGAAAATAACAGCCATGAAGAGTAAATAGTAGTCAATTGGATAAACATTTAGGAAACTGAATTTCAAGGGAGCAGTTTTCAGATGAATACAGAGAAAATTTTTCTAATAACTAGAGCTGTCTCACCATGACAACTGGAGAAGCCATCTCCAGACATCTTTTCTTTCTCCTTCACCCTTTTCATCATTGTCCTTAACTACATATTCAAGATTACCTACTGCAGAGAGCGGCAGGCCAAGATTATGGAAGGCCTCCAGTGTTTTACAGAGGAGGCTGGACTTGATCCTATTTGAATATCCAAAACCAGATATTAGACACTTACTGATTACTAGGCATAACAGTAGGTAGGCTTGAGGACTGCAAAAATAAAATTATAGTCTTGGAAGTGGGGAAGAGATGTAAAGAGGTAAGGTGTTTAAAGTACTACTATAGAAATCTGTATCATAAATAATAGGTAAAGACTGGGTATGTGTGATCAACTCTATATGGAGTTATAGGAGGGCCTTCAGGGAGGAGGTTGGTAGAGTCATTGGAGGTTTAAGAAAATAAGACTGTTGGGGCAAGAACAAAATGATCAGAAATACATTTTTAGCAAGATTTCCCTCACTGTTTTGTGTGGCTGGGTTTGATCAGGGGAGCAATTGGAGACAAGGATTCCAGTTGGGAGGTCATTCATTGCATGGTCCAGAAGAGAGTTCATAAGGGTATTGGCAACAGGAATGGAAATGAAGACATTGGTAGATTTGCCTGGTCCATGTTCCAAGTCAGGTAATGAATGCATTTCATAGTTACTGCACACCACAAAGCCTAATCCACATGACTAACCTATGAGACCAAAGGTAGGCTCAGAAGTACCACTAAAGACTGCCATATTCCAGATGCTCTGAGTAACAAATGTCTCCCAACCTGGTAATAATAAACAGTCATAATATCCACTCAGTTTTAAATACATATGTGACCCCCTCTTTCTAAATACCTTAAGCCCAACTCCTGGTATTTCAATTAAGATCCTTTGCCAATCCTCCTATCTTTGTTTCCAAAGTAACTAAATCCCCCCCACCAAAAAAAAAAAGATTTAAGAGAAATAGGGTAGAAATCATCAAATATTTGAAGATTTAATTATGAGCCTTAGATATATTCTCATGTGGATGGAAAAATGAGTCTGTCTGCCTCTGACCCTCAGGGTTTTACTACACAGAATGACAACAAATCCAATAAATCTCTCAAAAACCTTTTTTATACCCTACCCCCATACATCTTATAACCCAGAGATGAATGAGAAAAGACCCTTTGAAGTAATTTACCTGGGAGCAGTGCTCAGCATATAGCTAAAAGAAGCTTAGAGAAGGTGCTAAGAGTGGACAAGCTCAGGAAAGGCCTCTTCCTTCTCAATATGTGAGACGAAGCTGATTCCCCTGATGGAGTGGGGAGGGCAGGCATGGTAGGCTATAAGCCCTTTGGGCCTAAAATGATACAATTTGCAAATAGTAGTCAATTGGATAAACATTTAGGAAACTGAATTTCAAGGGAGCAGTTTTCAGATGAATACAGAGAAAATTTTTCTAATAACTAGAGCTGTCTCACCATGACAACTGGAGAAGCCATCTCCAGACATCTTTTCTTTCTCCTTCACCCTTTTCATCATTGTCCTTAACTACATATTCAAGATCACTTCAGCAGACAGACTGAAGAGGACATAGGTCTCAAACGACAAGGAAACTACAGTCTCTGAATTACCGTGGTACCACTTACAACTTTTCCACTTTACAGTGTTGAGGAAGTGATTGCATTCAGTAGAAACCATATTTTGAATGGTGAATTTGGGTCTTTTCCTGGGTGAGTGAAATGCAGCCCATTCTTTTTCCAGATTCTGGGTAGCCTCAAGGAGCCAGTTCCCAGTCAATCAGGAGATCAGCTAGGGAACAACCGAGCCTCTACAGTGTGCTGTGTGGCCAAGCTAGGATGTTGGAAAGGTCAGGTGTAGTCAATGCATTCTCAACCTACAGTATTTTTAACATCTGATGGGTATATCCGGATATCATCCATCCTAAGTCAAGAAAAATTGTATAATTGTGTATACACAATTGTGTATATATGATAAGTGGATACTAATTCATAATGGGGGGGGCATGGGATGAGTGGAGGAACTTTGGGTAGGGCAAAGGGGAGGGAGGGGAGGGTTGGGGATATGGGGGTAGGAAGGATGGTGGAATGAGGCAGACATCATTACCCTAGGTACATGTATAATTGCATGAATGATGTGACCCTACTTCATGTACAACCAGAAAAGTGAAAAATTGTGCTCTATTTGTGTACAATGAATCGAAGAGCATTCTGCTGTCATGTATAACTGATTAAAACAAGTTTTTAAAAAGTGTGTACATGTGTACACTTATGGTGGGGGGGGGGAGAAGCAAAAGACCAAGAACTAGAGATAATGATGGAAATTAGAATAAAAAAAACAGAGAGAAAGAATGATTATCTCTGATTTAGAGAACTGAGAGGGAGGTTTTTGAGGTGAGGGATGGATAGAACCTTGAGGAGTGGGCAGCATTTTAATAAGGTGAGTTTGGATGAGCAAAGGGACCCATGGGTACCAGTCATCTGTTGTATTTGGGCTGGGGTATAGGGCCTAGGGAATAGAAAAGATTGGAGCACTTGTTGGGATCAGACAGCAAAGTTTATTAGAGGCAAGGGTTAGGAGTTTGCATCGGGTCTATGTAGCTATTTAAGGTTTTGTGACAATACTGGGACTTGTACTATATTTTGAGGAGACTCATCTGGCAGCAATGGAATGCAAAGACTATAAAGGAAAGAGAAAAGATTCCGGAAAACAAGTGAACACAATAATCATCCAGAAGTAATGGACTGACTACTTGAACTAAGGATGGAGAAAGGCAACAGGACAAACAGTGAAGTGTCCCAGAGAGGAGAGGCCCAGCCTGGATAACTCGAGGTGAGTTCCTTCTCAGGAAGTGGAGTACAAGAAATAATCACCACAAAATGGAAGGTGAAGAGAAAGATGCAGAACTTCTGTTTTGTGAGTATGTGGAAATATATACCCACCCCACCTGCTTCATCTAGGTTTCCCACACACAGCAGCTCTCTGGTATATTGCAGGTAGTTTATTATCAATAATAGTGGAAGCACTGAAGTTAGCAGACAATGTACTATTTTATACAAATGAATATGAATTCAAAGTTACAACTCCAATAACCACTCAGGATCCATGCGTATTCTGATAGATCTTCTTGAGAGAGAAAGGAGTGCAGGCGTAGTAAATTTATCAGAGTCTTGAGTATACCCTTGGGGATGTATAGTGCATTAGCACAAAGCATGCCCTTTATTTCACATGGGAAAAGTAAGAGAATCACTGATTTAAGAAATTAGGGCCTTTGGATTTCTTTGACTAATCTCAAAGAATTTTGAGTCAATCCATAAGAAATTGTCTGATTTTATTTCAGGTCCTGGTTGGTTCTTGAAGCCAATCTTTTCTACTCCCTGTGCCCTATGCCCCAGAGGTTGAAGTTAGGTATCTCCAAATATTTGCCAGAGTGACTAATAGCCATTTTTTTAAAACACACATTTGAATGAATAATTGAAGTTTTACAACAATTTGCCCTGACCTGGAATTTTATTTAATCTGGGTCTGTCTTCAACCAACCAATAGGAAAATATATTTTGGACTTAAATAGTCCTAAGGTAGAAGGTTGGAGCACATTTAACAGGAGAACATGAACAAGTTAATAACATCTCTCTTCCTCAGTTTCCTGATCTCCAAAAAGAGGAAGGGAGAACCACCCTCAGAAGTTGATTGTGGAAATTGGAAGGGTCCATGAAGGCCAAGCATCTAACTCACAATAGGGACATTCAGGGAAGAAGGATCCTCTCTTGACCTCAGCATACCCCAGAACTATGATCAATAACAATCTCCAAGCTACAGAAAGGGCATGAAAGCTGACTTCCAATAAACCTGGATATCCAAACTGCCTCATGGGAGAAGAGTAACTTTTGCTTTAGACATAGCTTTAAGGAGAAAAGAAAATTCTCTTCAACAAATTGATTATATCTAATATTTGAGATGTTGGCTAAATACATTCTTAAATTGCCTCAAAATTCAAGCAGCAGCAGAACAAAAACTGAGAGGTACAGCCTTCTGTAGACACTCTAGCTCAGCCATACCACTTACCACATGCACTTTCTGTTCAGAGATGAACAGTAACCATTTCCTTTCATTTTATACTTTCCCATTTAAAATGGTGTGTGTGGTTGAACTAATGCATTTCACATAATTTTGTCATGTTTGGTTTTTCATTTCTATTTAAATGCTATTCAAGATGTTGCTCTATTCCCTGCACAATATCTAAACAGTATTTATAACTTTGTTCTGTAAACTTATATAACCAGTGCCCACAAAGGCATTTGCTTCTACAACAGTTGTGTGACCTTAAGTAATTTAATTATTTTCCTTGGTCTTCAGTAAAGAAAAGAGGTTTGACAATTGCTATGAAATTAATTGTTGGGAGGATTGCACACAAATTAACTAATTAAAGTTCATTGTTGGGAGGATGATGTATACAGATTTCCTAGCACAGTCTCCTTCCCAACTTCTTGTAGTGAGGCAATAACATAATAATTCAGATTCTGAGTATGCCATCTCTATTCCTTGTGTTGCCTGCACACTAATTCAAACTTCTCAATGATCTAGCAACTATGATTATCCCCATTGTACAGAAGAGGAAAGTGAGGCACAGAGAGGTTAAGGAACTTATACAAGTTCATTTATAAGTAATTGTGGCCAAATTCTTGAAGTTGGTTCCAGAGCCTGGATTCGTGTGCTTTTATGGCTTTTGTTATATCTGTGTTCATCACATTAATATTTTGGGGGGATCCCATTTGTCTATGATCCATAAATTTTTGCATAAGAGACAAAGATCATTTTCAATATAGTCAAGGTGCAGGGCAGAGGTTTAAAAATTCTGTTGTTTTGGTCTCTGCCCAGGTCATGATAGTAGACACAAACCAAGTCAGATAAATGGCTGCCAATCACCTTCCCCAACTTCGCTAAATGTGCTCGTAATTTAACCAAGGTATTTGAGAAAAACAAAATTTGTCCTTTGAGTTGCAAATGAACTGCTTCACATTTCCATGGGGAAGCTTGTAACCATCCTGTCTGCCACCTGGATTCTGGGTGGAGAAGGAAGGTGTGCCTTTCAATATTCCTGGTGAAATTTCAATTCTTTCCACTGAAATATTGACTCCGAGTATAAATATGGGTATCACCTCATTGTTCACTGTGGACTTTCTCTAAAATATGGATTTGAGTGTCAAAAACTGAGTGCCTTCCCTTGATATTCTCTCTCTCTCTCTGACACACACACACACACACACACACACACACACACACACAGAATCTTTGTATTTGCTTTATTGTAATTTATATGTTATTTTATTTCCTTTGATGAAGACTTAAATAAACAAAGGGTTTACATCATACCAATGCCAACAAATTATGAAACTTTGATGTCTTATAATTTTGTTTTTCAGCAACTGGGACTTGTACCAGGTAGTTTACTCTCTCCCCAACACTTCTACTCCATCCCTACTAATGAAGTATCGCTCTTTCATAGCAATTCAGCACCATGTTTTCTTTCCCTAACTTTCCTGAGGCTTTTCCTTCTCTACTCTTCACATCCTGCTGGCTCATCAAGTGGGGAGAAATTCTAAACCCAGCTGCTTAGTCTATTTTCACCTCATTTTTATTGCATTAAGTTTGTCTACAAACCAAATGAGTGATGTGAACAACCAACCTAGACAATTCTAACCCAGCACCTGTTATGGTTTGGGTCTGGGAATAGCCATGTTCAAAGCATGATGTTGAAAGCATGGTCCCCAGTGCAGCAAGGTTCAGAGGTGGGGCTTTTAGGCCACGATGGGATCCTGAGGGCTCTGACCTCATTGGGATTAATTAATCTATTATATAGATGGGTGGATCCATGGACAGCAGAATGGAGTGCTGGAGGTGGGACCTAGTTAGAGGAGGTGTCACTGAGTGTGTGTCCTGGAAGGGTCTATCTTCCCGCAGGGCCCTTCTTCACACCCATTCCCCCACACTTCCAGGCAGCCATGAGCTGAACAGTTTTCCTCTGCCGCACCCTTGTGCCATGATGTTCTGCCTCACCTCAGGCCAAACCAGTGGAGTCAGCCGACCATGAACTGAGACCTCTTTGACTATGAGCCAAAATAAACGTTTCCTCCTCTATGTTGTTTATGTCGGGCATTTTGTTCACGGTGGTGAAAAGCTGACTAACACACCTTAATTCTCCCTCTTACACTTGAAGGCAACAGTTTCTGTCTGGTCTTTTGTTCAGAAACCCAGAATACGGGACTCATTAACTTTTTTTCTTTTCTTTCTTTTTTTTTATTTTTTTGTAAATCTGTATTTTATTCCTTCATGTATATGTGGTGCTGAGAATCAAACCCAGTGCCTCACACATGCCAGACAAGTGCTCTACCGTTGAGCCCCAGCCCCAGCCCAGGATTCATTAACTCTTAACTGATATTTCATCCCAGAGATTGGCAGCTTCTTGGTGAGGAAACATTTTTAAGTGTTCATTACTCTTAAGCCATTTGCTGGAGGTGAAGAGAGAGGAAGTGAGGCAAGAGAAATGGTTACCTGAGAAAGCTCTCAGCCCTGTAGGGTGGGAAAGAAAGGGTATATTGATGGGGGGATAAGTAGGTTGAGCTTAGGTGGCACCACTGAAGGTGAATCAGGAAGGGATCACGGCAGAGCTTGAATGGACTGGGATTCCTGCAAGAATAACTTAGAGAGTTATTGAAAATTAGGTTCAGGTTTATTAGATGATCACCCCTATTTTATCCTTGCTGATGTATAGCAAGCTGCCATTTTTCTCTCCTCTTCTCCATTTATTTTATCTTATGATCAGCACTTATAAAGAATTTGTTTCACATCCAATATGGGGAAAGTATTTGAAAGGGTTAGGAATGGAGCTCAATGGTAGAGCATGTGCTTAGTTTGCATAAGCCTCTGTGTATAATCCCCAGCACGCGCGCACACACACACACACACACACACACACACACACACACACAAGAGTAGACACAGAAGGAAAAGTCTGAAGCCAGCCCTGGAAACCTTTGGGCTCTTTCCCAAAGATGCCAGGGTTATCCTGGAGCTGCAGTGCTGGGTTACTTTAAAGCAAGTGTGGAACCCACGTAGACCAAATTCAGTCCCAACTGGGGGAACACAGAACATGAGAGAATTAGTGAAGTTTCCAATTTTGCCAAATACATAGTCTATGGTGCACACTAGGAATGACTTTGCAAAAGTTCAAAACACCTTAGGTAGATGTATGTTCTCAAAGAAGAAAGCCATTCAGCCCCAGGGCCGGGGAGCCAGGGAAGGTGCATAGCCTAGGCCTGAAGAGGCGTGCCTGGAGCTGTCAAGTTCTCCAGCAACACTTCAGAGGAGACGCCATCAGCCAGCCTCTCCTCATGGAAACCATTCTTCCATCAAAGAAAAATTATGTTTCCCCCTCATTTAATTATGTGGATTTCTGCTAAATTAAATGCACTAAGAGGCTGGGAGCCAACATCTACAAAGGCGAAATCTCAGACTCTTCTGTTTTATGCTGGTCTGTGCTTCCTTGAAAACAGACACTGGGCCATGGAAAATGTGGTAAAAGTTTTAATGTTCATGCTAAAAGGAAAAACACCTTTCCTTTACATTGGCCAGACACACCTGGCGAAGAAAAGACCAGCTGAGTGAAAAGTCACTTGTTCAAAAGCCAGCTGAGCTGTCAGTGGAGCTGAGCAAGCAGGGATTTGGAAACAGAAAAGTGAGGGGAAAGAAGCTCGGCTTTACATATATTTTGTTTCTGGTGTTCGAAGAGATGGATTCAATTTTTTTGAATTGACAAGTAGGTCATTCCCTTTCAAAGAAATGTTCTCAAGAAAATATCCCAAAGCACAGAATTTTATTTTATATTATATTAATGCCTGAGCCACAATGTGGAAAAATGTAAAATAGGGAAAATAATTCTTCATAAAGTCTAAAATATTTGCTTTAAAATCTCCAAAGGGATGCCTGTCCTTTGTGAAGCTAAGTAGAGAAAGGGGTAGGAAAAAGGGACACAATTTTTGTAAGTTTTTGCTTAGAACTCAGCCAGAAAGGAATTTACTTGTTGTTCTTCCCTTGATCTTGGAACCTGTGTCCCCAGGTGGTAAAAGAAATGTGATTGTAGATGAAGGAGAAAATTCTACAAGGTAGACTTATCTTTATTCAAAAATTGTGTAACTTTGGGGAAAATTTCTGTACTTGAAAAACAGAAACACAGATGTTGCTTCCAAACAGACCCAGATTGGCACATGTCCTGAGGTTGCATACAGAAAGGTAAATAAAGTAGAGGTGTTTCTGTGAGTGTTTCTGTGTGGTTACCACACAGTCTCTGTCCTAGACACTCATTCCCCTATAGTAATGCCTACGCCAACTTGACATGCTTTGGGGTTTGTACAAAACATTAATGAAGTCTGCAAAAGGCTTTCCTAAAGTTAAATTCCCTCGTCAACTCTTAGGCCCCTTTAAACTGTGAACAAGACGACCCTTGTTCTGGAAAATCTACTGGCTCTTGCCAACACATACACATATACAAAAACACAACTGTTGGGCAAATAAATCTTTCCAGAGAAAATAGATTCCTTTCCAATTCAGTCAACTGTACTGAGTTGGAAAGGGGAAGATGTTTTTTCCAGGTTGAAGGGAAAACAAGATCTCTCCTTGTTTACCCTGTCTAGCCCATTTCAAAAGAAAGTCAGTTTAATGCCTTCGTTAAAAACAAAACAAAACAAAAAAAAAACTCAAGACTCAAGTGTTGTTTATCAGAAGACACTTAGTTCTTTTCAGGCTGAGAATCACACATTGGAACTCTGTGCTTTTTCCCTTTGACCTAAGATGCGCATGGCAGAGCTGA